GCGTGCCTTTGTCGAGCGCTCGCGGTTTTGTAGCAACTTTTTAAAGCGCACGTTTGCTTTTCTGAAGCACTTGGAGACGGATGCATGGGAACACCTTTATTACTGTTATTTGCTCTTAATTATGATCCTTACTTCGATTGTTTTTCCAGTGCAGATAATGACACCCTGTAGCAACGTATAGAAAACAGTGTGATCTCCTGAAAAGCATTAAAGAAAAATCCATACTATACTCCAGTGAAATTGCCATTTTTCTGTTAAATTCTGAAGCTGGCAGCAAATCAAACAAGACAAGCACGTGTGCTTTGTATTTTGAAGAAAAAGCTAGAAACAAAAATATAATGATCATCTTATTTACATTAGTGGTACAGATGTGAAAATATAATGATCGCTCTTCCAAGACTACGGCATCTCAGTAAGCCTAGTACCGCCATTTGCTTTAGGAAAACTATTGACCAAATGTCATGATGGCCTTTTAATGGTCATCAAGAGGCTTTATACAGTTAAATCATCATTCAGCATGAGGGATCAAATCAGGAGGATATGTATTTTCACTTCTACCAATGAGAAGGTTATGGCATATATGTTATATGAAATATATTAGAAATCATGACTTCTAGCAACCAAACTGCATATCAGTATGGCTCTTGCACAAGTCTTCATCTTTCTGTCAATGCATTTTTTTTAAACAGTAGTAGTATTTCCTCCATCTGACCTGCTTTCAGCAAGAAAGCAAGTTAATAGTATTCTCAGTGATCCTAAGGAGGAACGTGCAGGTCTTTAAGCAGAGTAACTATAGCGGATGGTGAAGGACAGTAGGTGTTTACCGAAACCAAACCAAACTGAAAGAGAAACTTTAAACTGAAGTAAGTCAGAAGAAATGCATGTGAACTTTTCTTCTGTTTTAAGGTGTCTGTGTTACCAAATTTTCAGCAATTCCCAGATAGAAATGGAATACTCAGTAAAATAAAGTCCATCCCACAATCTTATTCAGGATAGCTGTAACTATCAATTCAACCTACCTCAAAAGGAGACTACAGCTCCATTTATGGATTGGTCTCGCACAGCTAACCACGAAAGATTTTATGAAACTTTTATGTTAGCTGTGGGTAAAGCTTGATGTCCACACAGAGCAAACACTTAGCTGAATAAGTAATAGTTTTTATACAAAAAAATCTGTATATGATCAAATACACTATTAGTACTAATATGCAACCCTCCAACATCTCCACAACTGGGCTAATATTCCCTAGGTGTAAGAGATCAGATAAACTACACCAGTACTGAAACCTAATAATTCTTGATAAACACTCAAATTTTTTATTAAATATACCTTTACAAACATGTGTTCCCATCCACATGATAATAAATATAGTTACCTTTCGCTGCACTGCTGCGTGCATTCAAGTGAGCGAGAGGAAGCATTTTGTTTAGTCCAATAGTAATATTTCACCTCTATTAACAGGGTTCCTGTCTTCACAACAATGACAGTATTGTAGGAAGAATCTCATGTAATTAGGAAAGACGTTCGCAATTTTCCATCAAAACCCGATCTTTCTCTAATTGTGATTTGTGATGTGTAAATGTGAATCTAAATGAAGCCGTAAGACCTTTTCCAGCCTTTGGGAATAGCATTTCCTCTCCTTTCACTTCAACACACAAACATTTAGATGGCAGTGAATAAAATAGTTTTATCACACAGTACAGCATAAACCATCCTCTGAGACTTAAGCCAATGAGGCTTCGTGGAGCAACTAGCCAAGAGATAACCACATTATCACGGTAATGCTTGTGAATACCACTGGGGTGGGAAATGAAAAGCCAAGGGACATTTCAGAAATTTGCCTTTGTATTACCAACTACAAAGCTACTGCCAATTCCAGACAGAGTAAACAGGGTCTGAAACATTCTGAGCACACTCCTAACTGGCTAAAGCAAAATCCATACAATCTGAGCCGATTTTTAAGAGTCCCCCTTTACTATGTAGTATGGAAAACAATGATTTGGTTCAAAGTACACAAATACGTAACATACGCTTCAGCAATATAATCAGTACATTTAAACATGAACACACCTGTCAATGTCTGATCCATCAAATTGGTTGCCATGAAAGTCACAGCTGGTGCAGACACAGCAGTTACCCTGGTGACTTGAGCTGGCACCAAAGGATTCATGTGAGCATCCATTCTGGAGGCAGAACCTGCAGTCAAAGCACAAGGAAATCAAGTTTTCCCCCTCCGCTAAACAAAATTACAAAAATTTCAAAAACTCAACTTTTTTTCCAGCCAGATTTCACAGTACCTTTTTTTTTTTTTTCCCTGCTGCTAAACATACTGGGGAAAAATAAAACATTTCTCTCTGAATATCTATACACTTGTTTAAAGCAATAGGCTTTGTGTTTGTTTTATCTGAATTACTGGTCTTGTCTGGCCAAGATATCCACAGAGGCATTGAATCTCAGCAAATAATCATAGCTGGAAATTTAAATTAATTAATATACAGTCTCTCAGAACAAGAATTTACAAGGATGTATTAACAGATTGAGAACATACATACAGTAAGATCAGTTTTCTCGTTAAACACTAAATAAGGCACCTCCAATTTCTACTGTAAATTACTCAACATACACGGCGTGTGTCCCATCTCATATACAGACAATATTTTGCAAATAATTTAAAACAGGAGCTTTATCGAAGCAAATCACAGTCTGCTCACAGCCAACTCACAAAAGAGAAAATTGCTAAATTGATCAAATGCATTATTTATGATAAATTAGTCATCCAGGTCTGTTGCCAAAACTATGCTAATGAAACTAGGCTACTTTAATCCTTGAGAATTTGTGGCTGTTGCCAACTTTGGGGTCAAAACTTGAGCATTACTTTCCCATTATCTGTGAGTTTAGACACTAACTCTTCTTTCAGAAACTACAGCACACATTTCACATCATCTCATTTTGGACATAAATTTAGGTGTCCCATTAGTAGTGTACACATGCTATTTATAAGCCACCTTTTCAAGACTGAATTGACTGTAGGAACCTATCCCTAGTTTAAGATAGACTCTGAGAATAGTGTCTTTTTTCCCCAAGCATGATTCAACATCTGAAGAACTTACTACACTTTTGTTTCCCTAAATACACTTAAAAATACACTTATGCTATCAAACAGCTGTCATCCAAACTTCCCGACATTATGCAGTAATATGGATCATTTCTGGAGCCTTCACTCTTTACTATAACCGCTCACTTATAGTCTGTACACTTATTTATTGATTTTCACTTCTCAGTTTCCAAATGTCAAAGCAGATTAACAAACATAACTCTCACCAACATGGAGAATACCGATCACTTTTTTGAATGCAACTATAACTCTTTATCCTAAGACAAGGTTACTTTGATATTCTTGTTCTTCTTCAGAACTATAGTCTTGGGAATCACCTGGTCTGGGGATAGCACAAGAGGGTATTTCCTCACTGGTTTGAGATGTAAATGAGCAAATATGGAGTTTACGTGGAGACTTCTCAGCTGGGACCAGAAGCATCTCAGTAACTTCTGTAAGCAAAGCTGCGAGATGCATCCGAGTCACAGGCACTTGAAAAGGCATACTGCATTCAAAAGGGGCTATTCTAGTAACAGTAACAATGATGATGCTAATAATGCTAATATTGTGCATATTTTGCTGCTAGGCAGATATATTTTCTGTTGAATATACATCTGAATTACTTATGAGTAAAATGAAATATTCATTTTGAATTTCTAGTCATTTCTTCTTCCTCATACTCCCTTGTCTCCCACCCCAACAGTCAGAAGATAGCAGTGCAAGCGGTAATCTCTCTAAGAAAAGATATATCTGAATAATTTGTAATAGGGATGATTGTTGAAAGTAGAAACCTGGGCTACAGAAAGCCCAGTTTATGCCAGTGAGAGGCCCCTGGAAATAAAAACATAATAACTCTTACTACAGAAGTAAAGTTTTATAGAATTAGAAAGTCACATTCATATAAAGAGTTGAAATGACTAAGGAACCACCCAAAGGAAAGTAAAGCTGCCAAAAATAACAGATATCTGCAGAAAAAGTAGGAGGTATTTGAAGCTTTAGGAGCTGGGATCAGGATTCTAAGTTCACTGAATGTTAAATAAAGCATTTTCGTGATATCAACTTGCTATTAGCCAGGGTATCCTAAAGACATTAGTAGGCAAAGGATGATTTATTAATTTTAAATTCATTTTCTTTTGTGCTTCAGAAACCACGACCTCAGAAAACTATGATCCCAGTCCAGCAAATAAAAACCAAATGAGCATTCAAGTGTGCTGAATGGAATAGTCTGAACAGCAATTCTTAGAAATCCTAGGGATTCAACAGGCATTTTGTTCTAAGAGCAGATGGCGTTTTCTTTGATACAGTTCGCAAAGCTACTTGTATCTTACTAAACAGGTTTGGAAATATATCAAGTTATTTTAACAAGAGGTTCAAATCATGCTAGGGACAATTCATGCATTCAGTCTTGCCAGATGAACTCCCCAGCTGCAGCCGCGTGCAATGGGCAGGCCGGGAGCCCGGGAGGCTGCCCGAGGCCTGGCTGCAGCAGGACGGTCCCAAGGACCTGCCGTCCTTCCAGCAACGGCAGCATGGCCTTGTGCTCTGCTCAGGTATTTCTGCATAACTATGTTGCGCACTGACTGGTGAGCCCAGCCTGCACAAATATGGCTCCCCGTCATCTGCATTTTTTTAAAAATACTTGGCAATTTTTCAATATGAAAAAGGTGAAAAGGATTATTATTGCCAATAAGCTGGGAGGAGCCATTCATTAACCTTGTACTTGCTATTCACGTCTTCTCCTAAGAGGATCTAATAAATTCTCACTAGTCAGAATACCATAAAAGTATAGTATTATTTCTCTCCAAGATTTGATAGCATTATTCAGATCAGTCCCTGAACTTCTGGCTTCACTGATGCAGGATCAGACCTTCAGACAACTGCAATGCCACCTTCAGATGAGTGTTCCGCACGCAAACAATAGTTGCTATAGGCACCCATGCACATTTTCGTGTGCTTATATATCACCAAGGAACATGCGTGCACACAGCAAGAAACAAGAGGCCCCATAGCTGTTGCATAATATATCAGATCTTTAGATTTTTGTTTTGCTGCCCTCCTCTTAAGACACTTAAAAATCGAAGGAATGTAAGGAGCATATTTAATATATTTATGGCCTTCTTCCCACGCTTCCTTCTTCGTCTACTCTTGTTGTCTAAGACTACGGTCTGAATGCCTGAACGTGAAGCTAATAGAATACGGCCCTCCTAGAAGAACGATTAATTAGACGTGTACTGTGGCGACAGCCCAGTTGCTGTAAGTGGCAAAAAAGCAGGAAACAAGAAGACCGTGTGGAAACTATTTTAAGCTTCCGGGCATAGCAGAGATTTGTACAAGACAGACAAATAAAGACTAAACATCTCAAGACATACATAAAACTGTATACATGATGTACAGATTTTCTTATGCAATCACTCTTATGTTGTGTGTGCGCATATATATATATGTGTGTGTGTATATGCATATATACACATGTGGCTATACAGAAAGGGCACTGTTATCACTGTACCAATCTGAACTGGTTTCCTTTTGCGTCTAGAATAGGGCTCACTAACTAACTTGTGGACCAAGGGAAATAACCTGAAGTTGTGAAAGGAACAGATATAGGTGCGGATGCACTGACTTGCCAGGGCAGAGATCAACAGTTCCAAAACAACAAATGATACTTTAAACAACAAATAAATACAATTACATACTCCCATTAGCTATTATGTGATCTGCAGGCGATAGTTGTTCATTTCTCATAGAAACCCAAACAGAAACGTGCCTGGAGGGACCACCAGAAAGAGAAGCGAGCGCTTTTGTAACCAAAGGCCCCCCCCAAGTACACGCAGCAGCACAGAAGAAAGCAAAACAGATAACGAACCAAGGTCCTAGACCGTTAGCAACAACAGAGCAGAGGGCAGGGGAAGGAGGAGAAGAATAAGGACCTCTTTGTTCCACTAAACCTCTTGATGAAGCAACTCCTTGCCTTTTTCCAAACGCTTTCCTCCCCAGGACAGAAGAGCAGACAGCTGACAATTATCCTTGCTAAGTCAACAAGAGCTACCTGAGGGAGATGCTGAGAGGATTAATTGCAAGCAGCTGCAGGAAAAAACACCAGAAAAGGAAATATTTTATTATTTCTCCTTATTGTTAGCAATTAAATCAGAAAAGAGAAATTCCTGCAAGACATTAGCAGTAGCTTGAATAAGGATTCATTTTGCAGTGTACTATGATAAATGTAATCCACGTACACTTTGAAGGAAGGATTGTAAATAAAACATTTACAGACAAGGAATAGGATGCTGTGATGTTTGCTGTGCTGTATCTACAGTACAATACTGTAACTGGAGGCACTTTTAGCTTGGCCATCTCTAACAACATTCTGCAGCTTGAGATGATGTTCGGACCTCAGGCAGCAGTGGTTCTTTTTTCTTCTGCTTCTGTCAAATCTCTTGGTAAAACTATTAACTCTGATGGGCTCTTTGGAGCTAAAGAAGCTCTGAGGAGCCACTGATTTTCATGTAGCTTCTGACATTGGAATCTAAGGTGCCTCCAGTCATATGGAGCAATCTGCATGCAACAGAGCATTCAAACCACCCCCCCCACCCCATCTTTATGAAGATAGCCACACATACGAGCAGAGTAAAATTCTGTTTCCCATATATTTGGAGACTATTTCTTAAACTAGGATTTATATATGCATCTTAGATGTACAATACTACAGAATGAATTCCTTGGATAATACTTTACAGAATAAGGGTTATTGGGTGTTCTTGGGATTTTCCTATTAATTTTAATGAGAACAAAAAGGACCCTTTCATTCTATCACTTTCAGAGTTACCAGAGAAAGGTTAAAATGGCCTTTGGTCTTCTAGACTCTTCTGGTTTTGGCAAGGTATGTACATACTGAATGTTTTGCTATCTGTGAGGGAGAAGACTTAGAAAAGGAAGGCAGCTGTTTATTCAGAATGGCCATCTTTAAAGATAACAACAAATCCAGAAATATTGGAGATAAGCGTCACTGGGCATCTCAGGCTTGTCCTTTTCCACCTTTAACTTTGTAAGAGAAGGGGAAAAGGTTCATGCCTACAGATTTGAACTTGCCACTGCGGTTTTGCCT